GTCAAGAGGAATTCGCCGTCGTCTTCTGGTGGAACAGACCTTCGAATCTCTTCACCAAACACTTCTACTCAAAATGGAAGTAAGCCCAACAATTAAGAATCCCTTCCACTCGCCTATTTAAACGAAATGAAATGTACTCCAACATCAATGAGAACTTACTTGCTTGGGAGCTGTTTGAGCTAGTTTTCGCATGAAGACCTAGAGGAACGCACCTTTTACAGAATCCATGATATGCATGATAATTTCCAGTGTGGCCATGGACTTGGTACATTCCCATACATTTCGCCGGCATCGTCAGTGAGCCTTGCCATTCTTAGCACCTCATCACAACCCGTCAAAGGGGCAAAGTAAATCAATCCTGTGAACAATTGTCTGCTAAACATTTGTGGTAAATCTTCTTCTGTCCTGGTATATTCATCTGGCCTACATCCCTCTCACTATCACAATTTTTTACCTGATTATCGAAACCTAGTTCAGGTATGGCCTTTTAAACAGATTTAGTGAGACCTACCCAGAGCCCCCGCTGCTTCCCCATCCCCCCAATTGTGCTGGGAATGTTGACGAAATTCTGCCCTTTTAGTTCAAAATCGTCTTCCCTTAGTTCCCATCAGTCATTCTCTTGCTCCATATGATGCGTCTCTTATCTGGATAGTTAAGTGATTTCCATAGATGTCTTCAACCATTTCCGCTCTAGTCGGGGCATTATGTTCTACGCTCTGCTTAAAGCCTTCGAAAGCACATATCCTAAAGCCAAACTGAGCAAGCTAACAAAGTCTGGATTCTTAAGCTAGATAGAAAACGGACTTGATGCTGCAGGTTCTCTTGTCACTGTTCGGCATGTGCATCCGTAATTACTTCACTGACCACGTCTATGATAAAACTCATCTACTAATAGCCAACTATCCTCTAGGTCTCACTGACAAAACTACAAAGTTTAGAAAACAAGGGCAAACAACTTCTATAAAACAAAAGGAGAAAATACCATCTTTATCTTCATACCTTAGAATGAGAACATAAGTTCAAGAAGAGGCATAATAATTGAAAATATAAATATAAATATATTGATGATCCCAAAAAATAAAGATATTATTGTAAACTACCTGACCCCCACCATTCCAGAGAGCATAGAGTACAAGTTGAGAATTGACTCGCGGCGCCAGATAGTATTTGATAACCTGATTCAACATTGAATTGTGTAGGGCGTTGAGATTGATTGGTGCAGTATGGGTACTTGGAAATTGTGGACATAAAGTCTAAAATAGAGAAAATTACAGGCAAAGCTAAGTATAGGTATGCTCAAAGGACCCTATTTGCAAATACTAGAGACCGTACATACCAGTTCCACGAGAGAAGAACTGAAGATATCAGGGAACAAAATGAAGGCATGCTTAAGCGTGGCGTTAACTTCAGAATATAATCCACGGTCAGAAAGGTGAATGAGAGCTTGAAGATAGTCCAAGTTTTTCCTGAATAAATAAATACCAAAAAATAATGCATAAGGCGCAAACTATGAGAAAAATCAAAAAGTTTTAGTTGAAAAAGGCTATAAACGCACTGCAATCCATAAATGATTTTAAAAACGCCCAAAATCCCATTAAAAAGACATATGCGTAGAAAAGTTGGGTTTCGAGGAATCCATTGTTTCATAATTATAAGCTCATCAATAAAAAAAATAAGTAACAAAATCTATTCTACAAGAGTTGCTGGAAAAATATACCAAATCTGCGCAGGCGGCTGCTCCTGATCTGCACTGATTTTATATAAAGAATGATCTGTGCGCCGTGAAGGCCAATAATCCAAACAAAGAACGTCCGGAAATGCCTGGCAAGCACGCAAGAAAGTGAATTGTCCCAATGCGTTCGACCAGGGTCGATAGAATAACTCGACAGGCAGTGTGGTTGTAGTAGTAGGAGTGGACGTGGATGCCAAGGAGACTCCAGACTCATTGACAGCGCCATAATAGGGACTACCTGACTGGCCAAGAGGTGATCCACGCTGATGGGGCCCGTCACCAGTGAGTATATACAGGCATCGTTTGAGGCACGTAAAGGAAGCACGAGTGGAGACCAAGAACTGTGGGCAATCGAGTTCAGAAATTATCTGAGTATCACAGAATGAATACGACGGGTTAGTGAAAATATGAGAATAGAATGTAGAAGCCGATATAGCTAACAAATGTACATGAAGAGCTGCACTAGTTCTAGGAGCAGTAAGTAAATGTGCGGATTAGTAAAGGCGTATCAAAGGCTTCTGACAGATGGAAGCAAGTTTATATTTCAAGGCATTCAAATAAACAAAATAGGCTTTATAAATATTTGATTTTAAAGTTAAAATTAATTATTAACTAAATAAATAAGAATTAGATTAAAAAATTCTTAATCAAAGGTATGAATACCAAGATGGTTAGGACTTTTATATGGTCGTGTCTCGTTTCGTTGTATAGTAATTATTTTACATTGTTTTTCCAACTTGGTAATATTTAGAAGAACTAAGGAAGGAACTTAGTCCGGAGTTTATAGTATGCATGATAAATCACAGTCGGACAGTGGACTTGGAACATTCCCAGATGTTTCGCCGGCAACGTAGTCGGCATCGTTAGTGAGTACCACACTATAACTCGTCAATGATATATGGCCTTTTGCATGGTCACGGTCTCATTTCATAGTATTAAAGTTATTTGAATTGATTTCACAACTTGGTCATATTGGCAGGAAGACCTAGAGAAACGCACCTTGTCCGCAGCCCATAGTATGCATGAAAATCTAAAGATTCGGACTGTGGACTTGGTACATTCCCATACGTTACGCTGGCATCGTTAGTGAGACTTGCCATTCATAGCACCATAATACAACTAGTCAAAGAGATGAGTGAAGTCGATCCTTTGACCAAATGTGTGTTAAATTGTTGTGGTATCTCTCCTTCTGTCCTGAGCTATTCACCTCTACTATATCCTCGTATCACCTCTTTGATATCACAATTTCTTGTTTATACGATGATATAGGATGGATGAATAACTCAGGACGGAAGGAGAGATACCACAACTGTTTAGCACACATTCGGTCAAAGGATCAGCTCGACTTGTCTGATTCACAAGTTGTAATGTGGTGCTCAGAATGGCAAGACTCACTGACGATGCCGGCGAAATGTGTGGGAATGTACCAAATACATTGTCCAACAGGAAATTATCATGCATACATTGGACTCCGGATA